GATTCTCATTAGAAAATACATACTTAAATTTTCATTTAATAGTATCCTTTTGATAATTGATACCCTCCTCGAAAATGAGGGAAAGATATAACTTATTAGTAACAGCACACGTATATGAGCTCTTATCGATCTAGAACCTCTCCACCACAGGATAGTAATCAATTATTGTTATCGTCCCAAACTCTCGCCAATAATCATACCAGCTCCACCCACTTTAACCAGTCCTCAACCCACCTTTAACAGAAGCGTAAAAATGGATTTTTTAAAATAACATCTTGGATTCCCTAAATACAATGCAAACTTAACCTGCCTGTGTAAATTCGAGTCAGGGCTCCAACAATATGGGGTATGTGGGCAAGTTTAACAGTGGCGTTCTGTCGGTCGATGGTTTTCCCCAGAGTTCTTCCAGGACTCTGCCCCCACCAATAAAACTAGCCGCTATATGTGTGCTGAAAATGGCATTAAACCTCAAAAATAACAAATTAACAGTCAATTGCTGAAGTAAGATAAGTTCCATTTAAGATGTTTAAATGGTATCACATAAATAAACTGCCAGTTTATCCTGCCTGCGTGTTCGAATCAGGGCTCGACCAATGTGGGTTATGTCAGAAAGTTTACCCGTAGATCCCTGTATGTGGATGGTTTTGTCCCTCGGGTTTTCCTGGACTTCCTCCGCCATTAATTCTGGCTGCTCTACATTGCATGGTCTTTCGCGTGGTGAAAATGGCATTAAACCTCAAATAACAAATTAACAGTCAAGAGCTGAAGTTAAATCAGTTTAATTTTTAACAAAAAAAAATATTGTCGAAATACAATGGGTGAACTTACCGTATTAATTACTGTACCCAGAACACTGAAAATTCTAAAATCAACGCACTGTCAGGGAATACATCGTCTTCAGCCAGACTGAATGTGAATTAATACACTAATAAAGACTGACTCACATGTATAAATTTCCCACTGCCAGGTAATACGGTCAGTTCTACTTTCGATTTTCATAGTCTTTGTATTAGTGGAAAACACGCCAGCAGTATAGATTATATAATGACAGCCTACATTCGGATTTATCAACATATATTAGTCGGGTGAGAGCATGCAGTGAATAGTCATGCGTAGATATGTTTATTAATATCCTTCGTCCTCTATTTTGCGAAAACATCGGTAGGTTAGTATGACGTTATCGTTCAAAAGAATGACTCATTTGTACTTCTGTGGGTTTTTTTCTTTCAGCGCAGTGTATGTTGTGAATAGACTCAAATTGTTCCTCGACATGCGTTAGATATGGTGGTATGATACTGGATATAAAGAAGTAAGTACTTTTTGCCGTCTTACAACAGTAATAAAAATTTATGCAATCAGCATGGATTCCTGGGTCTGCTCCACCGCACCCCCCACACCGCGTTAGCATTTTAAACAATCTAGGATATGTCATACATGGCACCTATATGATCCACTGAGAGACCGATACGGAGAGGTGATTCATCTGACATCAGCACTTTATACAATGGACAGTACAACCTAGCACGAGAAAACAATAGCGGCTTATAACAATATATAATAGGACGTGCTTCTCTCTATTTAACACACAACAAAGGATGTTCAACAACAATCGTTAGAAAGCAATTGTGTCCTTGAAATGTTGCATGTTCACAAAATCACGTAGTTAATTTCAGACTTGGGCGTGCAATTGATGCACGTGCCCGTATGGATGATAGACACTAAAGAGAAATCTATAATAATTATTTCTTTGTTTGCTTTTAATTTTAACTTATTTTACTGTAAAAATTTTGAATAACGTCCAATTTAAAGTACGTATGCGCATTGACTCCATAACATGCAAATGCCTTGTAAGACGTGTGTGTGTGTGTGTGTGTGTGTGTGTGATTTGTATTTTTAACGTAGCTTTAACAATTTTTCAGATATATTGGCTCATGAAAAATTAGCTGCGGTGAAGTGAGTTATATTATAGTAAAAAGAAAGCGCCTTTTTTGCTCTGAAACCGTTTGCTGTTGTATGCAAAGTTTTACAAATTGCGAAGTTAGATATTCGAAACTGCATTCTGAGCAAATTTCGGGAACGAAAATTAAAATTCCTTTATAGTTTTAAAATGATGGCTGACACGAAGAAGTATGACAATGTCTCGTAATCATGTAATGTATACCCAGAGGGTTGATTTCTCAAGTAAGGAGATAATCAAGTAAATTATTAACCGCAAACGTTATAGAACATGCTATTGCTTATTTTTTGCATTTGTTCATCCAGCGAAAATCATCGCATTTTTAAATGTCGAAACTATATTTTACAGATTGGCAGAGACGGCTGATGAATAAAATGTATTGCCTCGCTGTGGGTGCAGTTTTGCATGGTCAACTATGAAACGTATTGAATAATGAAAATCAAGGGAAAAAATACAAAAGCATGCACCGACTTTGTAATCGGTCATTAGCAAACTCATTAAGTTTATTTCAAAATATAAAAAGGGGCACTTTTCAGATGTTTTACATTTCAAATAGTACTTCAGTGTTGAACTGCAGTTTGAACAAATCTACGCTTGAAAAGAAGAAACACACACACACACACACACACACACACATATATATATATATATATATATATATATATATATATATATATATATATATATATATATATATATATATATATATATATATATATATATAATACAAGGTACGCATGTGTGTTTACAAAAACAACATCTATTTATGGAAATCGAAACCAATGGAAAACAACATGTGTATTTTCCGCCAGGGGTTGTCTTAAATGGGTGTCTGTGTATTGATTAAATAAACTATTGCCACAACACAAGCATATCAGCGTCGGAATTTTAACTGGAACAAACGTCAGTTACTTTTCTAAAGCTCTCGAAACTTGCACCTGAAACCCACTCTCTCAAACACAGCTTTAAAATAGTACAGAGACAAGGTGTGTAACCGATTTTACATGTTCAATAAGTACCACCGTATACAAAATATCGATTTCAACTACGTAAGTAAGAAACACTTACCTCATACAGAATGTGCATGAGATGGTACATCAGTGCTTCTGAGAAGAATCTGCACAAAACAACTCATGTAACCCACTGAAATATTTATATGTATGGCGTTCCTGGAATACCAACTTTTCGGGGAATTCCATATCGCACTTCCCGTAAATCTATTTAAAACTGCGGCCTTTGTGTGTAGCGGTGAGTGCCTGGGAAATAATGTGACGCGCTTTTTGCACTGGTTAGATTGGAAATAGTTTAGCGAAGGGAAACTGTGTTCATTCTGGATTTATTAATTTTAAATGTGTGCGTGGCGGGGGGGGGGAAGGGGTCATTTACGGCTTAGTATTTTAGCTGTTTTTCCTAATATTGGAATTAAAAATTTGAATGTAAGTGCCCGTTATATCATCTCATAGGTTCCATTATGTTACACAGTCGCTTGTAACTTTTGGATTTTTCATAATCGTGCTTTGTTTTGTTTTTTTCTTTGTTACTTTGTTTTAGGGGTGGGTTGGGATGTTTTGTTTCGCTTGTTTGTTTAACTGGAGACAGCGGATTTTATTTAAGTTCATCTTATATATATATATATATATATATATATATATATATATATATATATATATATATATATATATATAGAGAGAGAGAGAGAGAGAGAGAGAGAGAGAGAGAGAGAGAGAGAGAGAGATTGTATAAATAATGTTTCCAAACCTTTCTAAAAAAAAAAATGTCTTTACCTGTAAACTTAACTCGCTTTAATCAAAACCTGCAAATTTTCCTGTGGTCAGCAAGCTGAACATTTAAAACTGCGTTCAATAAAATAGAAAGAAATCTACATTTTACGGTCAACATCTATCTTATAGTCAGCCGCATATTTGCTAAGAAATTAAAAAATATTAAATAATTTAACTTACAAGAAGAAAATTAAATTTTTAAAAATAAAATAATTTGAACGGGCGTATCACGAACACTGATACGGTTATACAAATTCGCTGTCAATACTCGATAGTTAAATCTTTAATTTTAGAACGTCTCTGTTAGTCAATTTAAACCAGATCGATCTGGTTTATTTGAATATATATTTAAATCCGATCAATTTCTTTCGTGGAAATATGTGTTCTTTATGCAGACAATACGCTATAAACTGAAAGTAAGCCGATGGAGATATTACACAAAACTGCTGAAAATATGAACATTCCTTGTTGTGAACATGAAACATTGACGGACAGAGGTAGAGCACCTCGTTTTCAACTTGTTTTTACGAGTCTATTATAATCTGTGCAAAACTGGACATTTGGTACTTGCTACTTTTACAGTTGCTTCAAATGCAACACGTAACATACGTATGCAGTACTTGTCTTTCAGATAATTTAGAGATGCCCTCAAGGCCACAGGAAAAATGTTCGCTGGCTTTTTATGAAATCTGTCAGAGGCGGAAATAAACGTTAGCATGTGTGCGTTCTGATCGCGTTTCTTTTCAACAGAGTAAATATTTTCAAAAGCAGGTTACTGTGACTCGATCATTTTTATTTAACCTGCTCTTAAAAATTGACTGTGCATTACTCGTTAACAACTAAAGTTGTGATATATATATATATATATATATATATATATATATATATATATATATATATATATATATATATATATATATATATATATATATGAGAGTGATGCAGATTAAAAGCTATCGAGAAATTGAAGCAGGCGAAGAAGGACTATCTGTGTGTGTGTGTGTGTGTGTGTGTGTATGTGTATGTGTGATTTGGATTTTTAATTTAGGTTTAACAATTTTTTTAGTTATATCACTACGATGCAAAGAGTGTGGCAGTTTATAGTGATGCCTAGCGCTTGGGCATCATGCCGCAGACATGTAGATTCATATCCTAACGAGTCAAATTATACTTACACCAGGCCGATCAGTCCTAACACTGACCTCTTAAAGCTTGGCGCCTAGTGAGCCAGCAGTTCGTATTATTTTTATATGTCTTTGGTATTACTCAGCCGGGGTTCGAACCCGCGACCTCCTGTATCCGAGGCGGACGCTCTAACCACTTAGGCCACCAGGTCGGTCAAGAAGGAGAATATTGATGACAATGGTTATTGTTGTAATTATTTTTAAATAACACAATAAGGTTCTGTTTACAAATTAAATAATAGATGGTGGAACACGGAAACCAAAACTTGCACAATGAGTCCAACTGAGAGGACATTTGATTCTGACATTTTTGCGCTGGAGAGAAAGCAAAATTAAATGAACACTATGCGTTGTTCGATAGTTCTGAGCGCATGTAATGTGAAATAAATTTAAATGTACAAATAACGATATCTCGATTAATGCTATATACATAACAACATTGCACTTTTCAATTGTGTATTATGTATGCGCTTCAGAATTATTAGGTCGCATTTTATTACATTTTTCCAGTGAAAAGAATGTTATCCACTTATTTTCTGTATTTGAAAATATGCAATAAGTTATGGAGGATTATTCATTTTGAAATATAAATAGTGTCACATTATCAAACCATTTACAGTTTATTCAGAGAAGAAAAATTAAATAATTAATTTCTGCTGAGACTTTCGACTCAGCAGCTCCACAATTCCGACCTGATTATCTAAATAAGTAAAATGTAGTTTAATTTAAATAAAAAAGCAGATAACAATAAGTTTATTGAACAAAGATGAATGTCAGTGGAAGTAAATTTATAGTGCATGATTGGCAAAAGAAAATTGTTGTGAAGAAATAATTAGCCAAGTCTTACCTAAAACTTCTAGAACTGTGGTGGTGGTATCTGCAAATCGATGTCCGTATCTGTTGCTGTCCTGCGGAGTTCCAGTTTTCCATCGGATAACAGTAATAAGGCCCCCAGTGTTCATTATTATAATAACCCGGATACTCCATTCTATGGTGTGCTTCGAACTTTTCTCAAATTCACGTCTATTGCGGAAAAGACGGAAGTTTACAGTGCGTAGCATACAAATGAAACAAGAGTTATAAAGTATTGTGCATATCCCTTCAACATTTCCTGCTTGAGATAAGATAATTTCCACCCTGATCGGCATATATTTCATCCAAAATTATTTCTGGAAAATATTTAGATTTTGTATAACAGATAGATTTTATAGTTCTGTATGAAATTTGCGCTTTGAAATTCACATACTTTCTTTTAAAAGATATATTTAAAGAGGATCTTTATTTTAAAATATTTGTGTATTTTAAGATCTTGTAGAAAATCTGCTGATTTAGAGGTGAAATTCTCGTTGCAAGCAACGAGTGGCAATCCGCTACGCTTCTTAATCACACGAGACTGTCTATGCGGATATTTCCTCGTTTCGCATGAATATGAATAAACCTGCTTAGCGTCTTCACTGCGAGCGCCAGTAAAACTTTTTACTAGTGTGACCCAGCTGACCTTTTATGCTGTTTGCATAAGCCAATCAAAGTTTCTCTTTCAAACGCAATAACTTACCACTGACAAAACGGGTACATTTTCACTGTTTATATGAGACTGTTATATTGTTTCTTAATGACGTTGCTGTTTATGCATACTGGTGAAGAACAATAAAAAAAAAATAAAATAGCACAGGCAGCTACGGGTGATAAAAGACGATAACGGCTTGCCGAACGTGGCTTTCGACAATAAGGTGGAATGGGGTATAGGTTTTCTCTCGTTTTTCTTTCTCATGCAACAAAGATACAAACAATAATATAATTGGTACTTCAAAAAAACCTTGTGAAATATTGCATGCATAGATTTTAACATAAATAAAATAAGTTTTTCCGTTCTCTCACGCTAATAATTAAATATAGAATTTGAAGATATGCGCCAAGAATTAACCCAAAGGAAATTCGGCTGAATTAGATCTTGTCTGTTTAGTACATAATCAAAGCACTTGGAATGGCCAGTTTACTAAGAACATTATTTCATTACAAATATAATTCCGTTTTGATGGATGTTAAGATAAGTGATAAAGGTAAATACACACGTGAATTTGCATCAACATATATGCAACAGTTGTCTAGAAAACAAATTTCTCGTCATACTCTGTAAACCAGTATTGACTTGTATATTTCTAATTACTATGCATGTATGTATGTATGTATGTATGTATGTATGTATGTATGTATGTATGTATGTATGTATGTATGTATGTATGTATGTATGTATGTATGTATGTATGTATGTATGTATGTATGTATGTATGCATGCATGCATGCATGCATGCATGCATGCATGCATGCATGTATGTATGTATGTATGTATGTATGTATGATGTATGTAGAGACAGACAGACAGAGATAGAGTTATAAAGTAATCAGATTCAATGGCTTTACACGATCCTTAATACAGGAAATTTCCTGGTTTATCAGTTGCATTAAAACTTAAATATCGCAACAACTTTACTCCTCTGAATACAGTTTTGTGTATTTAAACGATTTGATCCCACTGGTCATAATATAATATTTTTCCACCAGTTATTCGAGTCTCAGACTTCTCATTTACGAGTCATGGGACCATATTACTCGTAATCTTACATTATTTGCAGACGTGGAAACCCCGAAATACGTACTAAACTTGCCTTCATTCATGCGTTTTACATAGAGCACAATCTTAGTTTGACGATGATTCGACATGTTCTGACAGGAAAAATGAACGATGAAATTAAAAAAAAGAAAGAGAACAACAAATTTAAATAAATATTTAAGAGTCACCACTAAATTTAGCTGCTAAAATTAAAAATAGCAATTTACACAAATCTGTTTTGAGACCGAGCTATAAAGTGTCCGATGTGCTTACGCAGACGTTATAAAATCCATGCCTGACTGAAGAAGGATGTGCATTACGAAAAAAGATCAATCTATTGGAAAAATTCATTGTTAGTTTCCTTTAAAAATGGCGTTTGATTTAATTTTCATGCGTTTTACGTTTATATTTTCTGTTCACCCTCCTCTCTATGCATGCGCAGGAAACGGAAACTGCATGCAAGATGGATAAAAATTTTGTACTGATGATGTGAGTTCGTGGGAGACGGGCACACTATACTACTTCTTCAACATACTTTGTCTTTCATCTGGGTGCGAGAGACAGTTCAATATTATTGGACACACTATTCTACTTACAGCGAACATACTGGTACACTATTTTCCTATTATATAGTGCACATTTCTTTCGTGAACACGAGGAAGACAGTCCAATAAGGAAATACGCTTTCGCTTCAGGAAATTTTAAAAAGAAGTCTGAAAATACCCTAATGCAAAAACAATCTGATAAAGAACACGCTTTAAAGTTATATAATGGTTAGCAGAACTTCCCATACCTCCAAAACATTTTGAGCTTTTTTTTCGAAAAAAGAAATGAGATGGAGGGAATCTTTTCTAGGAATGGATGCAGCGATAACGTCCTATGAACTTCCCAGTGTGATTAATTGCAGTGCAAACGGTTTGCTATTAAATTCCTGCTATCTGGTTTAAAAAAGTGATGAATTAGACTAGAGGAACGAATCCTATCAATTTATGAAAAGGCACCCGTGGCTTGTAACGTACAGGAACTTACTTTCAATCAATTCAACTGAAATTTGGGTTTCAAACCTCCTCTAATAGACACCTCCTTAATACAGTCACGTTTATAAGGCAGACACATGTTTAAAAATACCCAACATACTCTATTCCATATAAAATTAGTCTCTACCAAACAACAACAACAACAACAACAATGCGGAAGTTGAAGGTCATATGGAAAATTCTATTTGAAGGCATACATATTTGTGAATTGTACCACAAGAGTCTGCAGGTTTTTCAATAAAGCACGACGAAATTTCTGACAACATGAAATCACCTTAACAGTATTTTAAATTAACTTATTATTAAATTAATTTATAATACCGTTAAGGTGATTTCATGTTGAAAGAAATTTCGTCGTGCTTTATTGATAAAACTGCAGACTCCTGTGATTGCATTGATTTAGATTTCAGATATAAAAAAAATGTGGAAATATATTTGCTACATTATTTACTCCTGTATATTAAGCGTCCCGTTTCAAATACTCTAGACCAGTGCTGTTAAACTTTGTTGACACAATGGGCCACTGAATTTTTTTTCTTGAAGCCGAGAGGCCGCAGCAGAAAACTTAAATGCAACTTAATATACTAACCTACTGGTTATTTTGTCATTATCATTCGATAGATGGCATTAACTGTAATACGATATGTTTGATTTTGTTGATCCCAGCCCACGTGATTACCTGGTTAAGAACATAGCACTGCCCTAGACCCAGATCAAATGAACCATATTAGCTCAGTGGGTATAGTTCCGGACTAATAAAACAAAGGTTGTGGGTTAAATCCCCGTCCAGGCTAACCCGGGTCGGCTGCCTAGGCGTGTCTTTGGGGAAAGTACTGTTACGAGTAAGGGGTTCTGAGTGGTGTCCAAACCCTGGCGCGAATCCCGCTAGAAGTCATAAGTTTACCCCAAATTTCCAAAGATTACCATGCAACTTCAGTTGTAAGTTCGAAAACCCGACGTGTGAATTATATACATAAATTTTACTCTGATCAATGTAAGACCACATTATTTACAACTTGCCAAATAACCATCAAACTCACATACGCACAGTTTCTCTATATTAACTTTCCGTCCCGCCAGAAGTTCACACCGTAGAAACTCCACAACTACCCTTAATACGGGGGATTATTTTAACTGCACCACCATAGGCCAGTCGATCTATCGTTTCAACGCATATCACACCAGTAAAACTACATTACATTTGCCACTATGGCGACATAAACGGTATCTTCCGAGTCCTTTCTCATTTATTCCACTGTGTAATTTACCGGTTTCCTACCATAAATACTGCCAATGCAGTCATAACGTCAATGTACACCACTAGATTTAATAAAGTACTTCATCACGACATGGACAGTCATGCGGATTGGGTCTGAATTCGCTACTCATTGACCATGGCATCTTGGAAATTCACTAACACTTTCTCTCCGTGACGTTTGCTCCTAATAATTGGCTAATTATTTCGGGCTAATGAATATTTCCCATTGCACCGATTTCCAATAAT